TAGAATCGAGTTAGTATTTACAGGATAATAACAGACGATGAAGTTTTCATTATTTAGGCATAGACCTTATTTTGACTTTAAATCAGATACATAAAACACCGAATTATTAAAAGCACTAGACGATGAGAACTGTAACAAATATTGCAACTACATGTACATAAATTATTGTATGTTGTGCATGAAAATATAATAATTATATATCTATCTGTTAAAAAATTATAAAAATGTCCTTACAGCTACTTTTAAGAATGAAATAGATATGTATATTGTCATCTAATTCAAGTTTCAAAAGTTTTATAAGGAGACGTGCTCTTAAAATTAAGAGAACTTTGCTTAGAACAAGTTTGTAGAATTATACCTATGAACGGAAGACTGATTTAAGTCATGTTCCAAAATTATACTAAGTGAGTTCATCAATATCGTAAAAATGAAAAGCTGGTTCACTCTCGGTAATCTTTGATCTTTTTGATGGATTTCTCTGAAGACTCCAACACAATGAAGGCAGGCATTGTGTGTTTAAGCCCTTGTTACTTTGACTTTTACGACTTGTGATCTAAAAGCTATAAAGGTCGTAGATAATGCAGGAGTGCACTCAAACCGATTCCTAGGATAACTGCAATCCACTAAGATAATATATCTCTAAACAGTTCTAAGCAATTTTTCTAAACAAAATATGGAATATAAAATGCTAATTTCTTTTTAAGATAAATTTAATGTTTATTATTAACCATAGATGTTTTTTATAGCTTTCTCCGAAAGTAAAAGGGTAAGCGTGGAGCTGCAGAATTGCATTGCGAGCCACGGCCTGTTTAGGGCTCACGTAATACGTCAATTGAACACAGTCGTCAGTAGGAGCCATGAGGGCTGAAATTCATCATGTTAGACTAGGTTTAAACTTTTAATGTTTATACATTAAAAGTTGGATTGGAAAATACTATTAGAATGATTTAAATACGATTTAGCGGGCCTTCTCTTTAGAAGGATAGAATAGAATTTATATATATTTTTAGTATCACATCACATGTTAAATATAAGCATGCAAGCAATTTCATAAATTATGGGGCATTTAGTCTACTTGTTATTTTTATATCACATATATCCATTATAATCGTCTAAGTTAATTAAAAGTTTTATATGAAATGATTGGAATGCGCTCCAACAAGAATTGTATCTGTAAATTTAAATCAATCTGATGTGAATATAGCTGTATTGCTTCAAATAGGCAAATATGTACGTATTTGTATTCGTGAATAAAATTCTATAAAGGTAAAATTTCAGCAAAATACGTACAAAATAACATGTTTCGACTCAGAACTGCTGACAGTCTTCATTTCCTATAGAAGCCACCTCCCGGAAACAACCGTCGTTCATGATACCGTTGTTTTGGAAACAGCCGTGCCGTGCTAACGTCACACAAGGAGACTGGAACAATAAATTGAAATCAAATGTACGATGTTTTTACAAATTCTGAATTCTATTATTGAATTAATATTTCATCACATCTTATCATGAGTTTACATCTTCAAATCATTTGTATTTTAGAAGAGTGATTAATTATTCCGACATGAATATGAATACCTAGGAAAAATTTATGTTATTGATGATAAATAAAAAATTAATCAAAAAGTGCCTAATTGTTTCTTGTCATAAAATAAATAAAATTGAAAAAAATTAACACAAAATAAAATTTACTAAGATATAAAACACGTTTTACTAGCGCCATCTAGCGTGCAGTAGTAACATTTTATCAGAGTAATGCAATTCTGCGTAACAATATTGACTGCCACATGTTATATACAACTCCACAAAACTGACTCTTTAAATTAACCAACTGCAAATCATAGCAAGGTATCTAATATTTGTGAACCAGTGATTTCTAGATCACAAAGAGACTCCTTTCAAAGGTCTCGGGTTGGAGCCTATACTTTATATTATATTAATTTCATTTAATTGGAGTATTATTTTCCTTACTTTGCTAAAACTGACTATCAGAAATGTGAAATATTATGATCATATATAGGCTTCGCTTGAATCGTAATTTATAAAATGATATCTTTTTGTAACTTCCTTATACGTACTAATTTAAATATCATAATATGATGTCATTCAATCCCTTATTATTAGACTTGGAAACTAAACTGAATTTCACCGACAAATTATAATATTTAGATACCTATGTACTTATGTATAAAATGGCTTCTTAGCCGGTAGTTTATTATAAAATCGTGACCCACGACCGTGCTTACAAATGGAAGTTGTTATAGGACTCAGTATTCCACGCCTTGCTATTTTGTTCAGACTACTCTTGAATAGATAACTTTATTATTCGTGTTCTTGCAGTAGCAATATTTAAATTCATTTCATACATTCCAGTTAGTACATAGAAGATTGTAAATATAAGATTAAACGTGTGTTCATGCCAAATGAAACTACGGACTAAAGTTGTTTACCATTCATATATCTACAAGTAATAATATAAATTGTTAAAGATAACTCAAAAAACAAATGGTAAAATTTTGGTTAAATAAAATCTGGACCAAATGAGAACCACCAGCTTTTGAATAAAAAAGGCGTCATCAATATCGGGCCACCTAGATGTTGTTTATTATTTTTTAATACTGTTAACGTTAACAGTTTTAAAAATAATACAGACGTATTAAAAATCTCCTTTTTTAAGGTCGATTAAAAATAGTAACCATTTTGAAAAACTGTAGCGCTTCAGTTTTATTAGATGAATTGATATTGCTTTACTGATAAGAAAAGTACATTGCCAATGAGAATTGACGTTGCCGTTTTCACTCTGCTGGGTGCTGACCTCTTCCGTCGTGGAATGGGAACTGTGACAGTACGACTCGATGACGGAAGCGGTGGAACGTTCATTGGCAGTTTGTGTTAAGATATTAATATAAATATACACATTGGGACCTCATTACCTGAAGTACTTACACTGATGACTGATTATAATAATTATTATTTCTAAATATTTATTAGAATCCCGTTTATTCATGACTAACTGACACTGTCCCCGTTTTGCATTTTCATTGCAGCTCCGGTCCAATTTGTTATAATTTGCTTTAGAGCCTATAGCTGTCATCGATAAAACCGCTACCGATCATTCAAATCAAAATCCGATCTGTAGTACTGGAGTTTATACCGAACTTTCAAACGTACAAACGGATAGATGATACGGAAACGGATGATATTTTTCTTTTTAGGGAAAATATGCGAAGATGGTAACACTGCTCTGATTTTTTTTATTCTACGTACTCTACTGCCGATAGTGTAATGCAATACATATCGGTTGTAAAGTGCTAATTAATTTCTCCAACCTCAATAGTTAATTATCGAATTTCTAATACTTCAGTAAATTACATACGAGATGCGTTTAACTATTTTAAACACAAAAATGTTAAATGCATTGTGTTTATATGTAACCAATAGAAGTTTTCATTTAAATTGTATGGGAATAAAGTATCGTAAAACCATGGCAATAATAATTCGTCGCTCGGTCCAATAAAGGCAACCCTCGTCAGTGTTAGTAGTCTCTGAATTGCAGGGTGCCCTGTAGCAATCTAGTTCGACGTAATTGTTCTCTTGAGGTCCTCTGTGATCGCGGTGTATAGTAACAGCGCAGATTACTTGAAATGACAAATTAAACAATTATAGACTAACACACTATACTCTATTTTAATAATAGTAGTCGTAAAATAGAGGTTATTTTTTTATTGAATTTAGCAACATAATTATTTAAGTTTTATATGTTACTAGCTGTTGTCCATGACTACTTCTGCGTAAACTGTCAACCTCCTTTCAGATTATTTTTTAAGATATAAGATAGCCTATACCGTAAAAGAGTAACAAATAGGCATATAGACAGATACACTTTCCGATTTATAATATTAGTACCTATGATAGTATGGATTATTTGGCTATTAGTTATTTAATATATTGTTTTTATTTTTAAATTTATTAGATTAATAGTTTTTTGTATTAGTGTGGACTAAATAGGATTAATTATATATATTAGTCGAAAATTATGACATAGGTATTATTATGTAAAATAATTGATTCTGTTTTTAGGAATTGAAAGATATAGGTACTTCTTATGTTCATTTATTATTCAGCTTCAACTGAAACATTATTAGCATAATTTTAAGTATAAGTAATAACATTTCTTCTGGTGATTAACTATATATATTTACTATTATATATAGTATATATATAGTATATAATTATATAGTTACTATTATACGAATTATAATACTATAATATTTATGAAAAATGATGCGATTATGCACATATATACATATATCTATCTATACTATATTGTATAGTGGGTATCTATAAATATATTTTTTTTATCTACAAAACCCTGTCACGTAATGGGGTGGGTGAGATTGTTGAAAGCTATAGATATATAGATAGATACGAGTAGGTAAACGCTTCACCTGTTCGTTGTCTCCGCTCCCTATCAACACGCTTAATGGGGATTCTTTTGATCAAATTATTGACAAAAGTAGAAGCAATTACGAACAAAAGGTAGATAGACGATATTATGTCCTCATTTTATGATATAATATTGTGTAACAAATTTCTATGAAAATACGAAACGAATGTTGATGTTTTAAAGAGGTGTGTAATGGAAAAACCTAAAATGTTACGTAGTATCTCTAAAGGTATTATTGCGTAAATTATCAAGTTATAAGAAACGTCTTATTTGTGAACTTTTTTGGATTATTGTTGGACTGAAATAGCATTTTTTCGGTTCGATTAGGTTACTGATCATTTTGATCATACTATAATTTATACTAATAATACCTAATATTGTCATTAATCCTATTTTTATATCAATTACTTTACGTGTTAGTCATAGATACCGAATCTTATGGTATTAGTTAATAATATTTCAAATATGACGCCGTGAATTGTACGCTATATATTGTGGTCAGTTAAGTTATGAGTACACATATTAAAAGAATGTTTGTTTCTTTTGTCACCAGGCAAGTGTCTGTGCTGCAGACGTCTATTCCGCTGCCCGCGTCCGCGGCGGCGGTGCGACGTGCCCCCCCAGACAAACGGCCGCTTCCAGCTACCCCCCTGCATACAGGTCTGTACCAACTACCTATTATTGCATTACTTATTGGTATTACGGAGATTGGATACGTGACGCTTATACACACAGCCAGTACACATTTTATTTTAAAATGTGTTTAAGTTTATTTCTTATCGACTTTCAAAAGAAGGAGGTTATATATATATGATCGCTATGTATATTTATGTCAATTCTCGACCGAATTTCAAAATACAAGCAAGCATGTTTTTAGAATTCTTTAGCCAAGAAAAGTATATAATACAAAATATGAATTTATAGTCTTCGATTGTCTATTGAATAAATGCATACCGGAATTTCTTTATTTATAGTCAGAAATTACTAAAAATAATGTATTTATTAATCTTATTGTCCTTTGTGTAATAAGATAGATAGAATATATATAATTTATTTATAACCTACAGTGAATAAGAGACATAAACTTTATATTAAAGAACACATAAGATGGTATGTGTGATCAAAGTTAGTTTGCACATTTATTATTTCATTATTATTTATTAACTATTTCTAAATCTTAACAGACTTGGACTTAATAGAATTTATATGTCAGCATTTAATTTTATTACATGTTAAAGAATTCTACATACACTATTAGTAATTTATAGCTGTAACCCGCAACTGATCTGCACAAACTTTCACCCCCTATTACACCTTCCAAATTAGATTTTGTGATAAAAGATGGCCTGGGTCTGCCCTCGTGATACAATAAAATTTCATTAAGACTCGTTCGTTTAATCGTGAAAAGGTAACACACAAACAGACTTTTGCATTTATATCCAGGGATACATCCGCGTGAAATTTATAGCCTTTGTGTTATTCTGAGGTTAAGCTATGCTACTGTAAAGTTTCATTAAAAACTATTCAGTAGTTTTTGCGTGAAATAGTAACAAACATCCATCCAATGCAGCCTCACAAACTTTCGCGTTTATAATGTTAGTAAGATTTGTTCAGTAATTACGAGTATTTAGTCTTTAAGACGCGCGTTAAAAAGGTCAAAACGGTCATATATACCATCTGTTGTAAATTACATTTTCTGATAGATTTCTGTCTATTAAGAGACAGACTTGTTTAATTAATCCAATTGTTTAAAGACATCCAGCGCTGGGGGCACAACGACCGCTACGGGCGGATACTCGCTCAGCGCGAAATACACATTAGTCTGGAACTTTCTATTATGTCCCTTTATTTGCTTTCTATTTACAAAAGAAGTTATAATAACTATCTACTTTGGAAGTAAATTTAGCTCTTCTTTCTTCCCATGGGTATCGTTTGGAGCTACGTCAGACAACATAAGAGCAATAAACACGCACCATCTTTCTTTAGATGAGAAAAGTTTCAGCTCATGAAATGTCTAGAAAATGTAACAAATACCTAAGTTATTATTCAACAGAATTCAACCATATACAATGATAAAATAAAGGCAATCACAGGAGGAAAACAAATAACCGGCAATTGACAGTAAAAAGACTAATTATCATACAGACAATTAAGCAGAAAATATCATATCATATCCCAATTCTACACTAATTAAAAGACAATTAGTCCTATATATTTATAATATAAGATAGTATTTTAAATTGCGTTTGACCCGCTGATTTTTTTGTCTCAAACAAAATTTGTAATACTGGATGGAAAACATGTCGTATGGCAGTGTTCCATGACATAACTTGGATTTGATAATAGACAGTATAATAATTAAAATATATAGTAACGAGTTTAGGTATTAACGTGAAGTTTTGTGACCAATTTTTACGGTATTCGATTATCACTACATATCAGTATTCATTTATATGTAGTGATAATATGTATATGTACTTACCTAAATGAAAAGAATCTGATTAATTATGTCCATCGATCGACCTCTGAGGAACCCTATTCGTTTACTATGCATCAAACCATCTATTATTTATTATACTTAATCGAAGGCGTACGTACAGTTAGCCTATTCAGAATAATAATATTGTGGTTACAATTCTCGAACAGTAATAACGGCATAGCATAAGGAATAGTCATGTCATGTAATTATATGTGTCTAATAATAATAATGAGTACATTTAGGCATAGTTAAGATATTAATTAGATTCTGCCTTGGCAAGAAAGGCATTATATATCTTTTGATAATTTCTAAATATAAACCTAAATAACCCAATAAACCCAATAGCCCATTATTATGGGTTATTGGGTTTATTGGGTTATATATATATATAATCGTTAATCTAATTTAATCCTGCTATTAAGCAGGATAATTTTCTGTTTTAATACCGATTATGGTTATTAACTAATCAATCAAAACAAACAGTCAATCAGTCAGTCAGTAACTGATAAAACACGAATATTAGAGCAGCTTCAATTTTTAAAGTAAGCTTTCATAATATATTTAATTAAATATTATATGAATTAGAGAACTATTTTAGCCTTAAAGTTTGACGCCAAAATATGGTTTTGGTCTCCATTTATCGGCCGTAAAGTAACACCTGAAGGGATATGACAAAATAAACGGACTAGAATAAGATGCCTAAAGGTTTATTCACTTTCCCTCCGCTCTGATAAGTGTTACTTTATTGCTTGCCCACATGTCGATGGTCGGCGACATACGATGTAGGCATCTCGAGATACTATTTTCTATTTTTATCTAAGTATTAAGGATGTAATATAAAAATTATTCAAACTACCATATTTGTTCATATAGTCACAGCACCACAAATATTTAAAGTATTTGAAATATGGTAGAATTCCAACACTGGAATTATTATTATACTCTATCGATTTCATTTAACAAAAACTGCGCCGAATTGGCGTAAGGTAATATAACCGATTTGTTAGCCCTTAGTTCAATATAGTTATATATATATAAGTTGGATATAGGGTTTATTTATTTCTTTGTTATTTTTCATCCATAAATTATAAGGTATATGATAAGATCTAGTAAAGTTTTCGCCCCGGTTTCGCCCGGGTGTACATGTATTACACATTTAAACCTTCCTCTTGAATCACTCTATCAAAATCCGTTGTGTAGTTTTAAAGATTTAAGCATACATAGGAACGGGCTGACAGCGACCGTGACTTTGTTTTATACTATGTACTTTTACCTACGTCTTATGAAATAATACATTTTAAAAGAATCATTCTCACGATTCGATTATCTCGAGACTTATCTCTCCCCTTGACTTATCTCTCTCTATCATTCGCGCTGCGTAGATGCAGACGCTGGCGCATCGGCAGTTGTCGTGTTCATCTCTCGGCGAACACTCATTGGTTATTATAGTACCTAATTATTAACATTTAACACCATTTAAAAAAAACTGAACATGATCACTAGTTTTTGTGTTGTGCATTAGTCCTTCAGGAACTTCAGTATCCTACTGCAATGCGGGAACAAGTTGTTTAAGGTAAAATGTGCAATATTTAGACGATATATTATAATAAGTGTGGGTACATTGAAATTTATTTAATAACAAATTCCCAGTTCATTACAATTGTTTATATTCTAAATTAATACAATATACAGTGGAAGCTTAAATTTTATACTGAATGTCTGCCAAAAATAAAAATTAGTACTTATGTTTTTATTGCAGTGTACAAAAGAGTTCGAAAAAATATAAATGTCGCCCCTAAAATTTTTCTTTAGTGCCATCCATTAATTTCACAATTGGCCTCAATGCTAGCAAAGTATCGTTTACAATAACCTACCAATAGGCTGTTAATACAACCCCCGGGGGTTGTTGCTCCCGGAGATGATGCCGATGATGCAAAGGTTTATCCCTAGGCTCTCCTAGGAAGCTGGCAGAGTACTCTGTGTCAGTCTATCATGACAGATTGATTTCCACGCAGTGCCCCCCTGAACGTCATTGTGGTTAATCCCTGGTGGATTCGTCACGACCTTTAGTATTTCTTTGACTGAATTATTTTTTGTAAGACAATTGAATCCATTTTTTTTCATACATATAACATATTCGAATAATATTTATAAGTTATATGGTTCTGACAAGGATTGCTGTCTGCAGTTAATGCCTACATGCAAAAATCAGCTGACCGTGACTCGTTGCTCCCGAGTAGTTCTAACTGATGGGTCGTCTTGGAATAAAGAGCGGATGCAGTTTGTTGATTGACGCCAATGTATTCTTGTAACAGTGATGTGATAACATCCTCTGGTTTAGATACAATTCATCGTTGTGTGAGGACACCTGAGTTACGACTTATAAATATATCTTTGTTTAATATAACCTTTTTTATCTCTTGTACCATTACATATTCCTTTATGTTTTATCTGTAAGGTCAGGCCTGTTATTTATAAGTCTGACGTATCTGTGTAACTGTGTATGTTTGGAGTTCCGTAGCTCCTAAAGGAATGGACATTATCATACAGTTTTTTTGTCTGATAGCTGTCGTGGTCGAGATGATTCTTACATATAATTTATTCGTTGTTTTTTTTTATTGGAGCTTAATAAAATATTTATTAAAGCAATGTGAGAAGCATAGAGGTTACTTGTACAGTGTATTGGAATATTTTGTTACCTTTTTTAATAAATGCTATCTAATAGCCTAAAAGGAAGTATATAAACAATAAAATAGTTAAAATAGGTACATGTATATATGTATATGTTTTTATAAGATGGAGAATCTATGAGTATATTAATATTTATTTATAGTCTCGGATGCGGGGAAGGAATGTTACAAAACTAGAAATATTTGTATTTTTACTAATATTTTCATGTTCTTTATATAATTTACTAGATTATTTGTCATCTCACAACCGGATATTTGTAAATTTCAATTACTTACTAAGTTATAACATTACGTGCGACGTCCATGTTTACCTTTGCCATAACAACAGAATTAAATTTCAAAACAATACACTCACATACGAATTGCATATGAATACACTTTATTTGGGGTAGCTGTGCGCACATGCATAGATTAGTAAAGAAATGACGTCACGAGTTATTATTTTGTCTGTATGGTATCGATCGCTGTACTGAACCACTTTAATTAGATCCATTGTTACAAATACACTTCCCCTGTGAGTATGTATTGGCAATGAATTATAAAGGGAGAAGAGGTTTAATATAAACTGGTGGTATAGTTGGTAGTTTGTATGTTCTGGTCCACCTATCAGTGTGTCGCCGGCGCACGCCAGACCACCCGTGTCATATCACGATAAAATTTCACTTATCTAGTAAGTGTTAGTTTAACAAAGATAATGTTTGTCCAGGTTGACGTGACAGATATAACTTTATAAATAAGAAGAGCAAACCTTTTACTATTTTATATAATTATATTTGTTTATTTTCAGGTGGCAAAAGTGGACTTTCGGCGAGTTCCAGTCGTTCTACGAGTCCCTTGGGGCAAGGGGTGGTTACCTTCATTCCACGCGCACCGACTTCATCCTCTGGGTACTTACATAATTTTAAGATTCTGTTAAAATTAGGATACAGCAGGAGGTTTTTTGATTTATTTCCGTGGATAGTTGATATATTATTCCGCAAATGGTCGTCAAAGGGATATCTGTTTGGTTATATGGTGACACTGTTATTTATATATTTTTTTATGTTTTTATAATTGTTTGTTGGAAGATTGTACTTTTTATATATTTTGCTAACTTTAGTGACATTTTGTAATTTTGATTGTTATATTTTTTTTATTAATTAGTCATTTACTGTATTTTGATTTTATAGGTCACGGCCAAATTCATCGCTACTTGCACCAGGCAGTAAAATTCCATCCACCCTTCAAACACAACATTCTCAGGCATCTAATAATCAAAATGGAACTCCTACAAAACATTCTATGTTGGATAAATTAAAATTGTTTAATAAAGATAAAATAAGTAGTGAAAAACAACACAGTAAAAGTACAGCAGTCTCTAAACGTACTAGTTCTTCCAGTGGATTTTCTTCTGCAAAAAGTGAAAGATCGGATTCGAGTTTGAGTCTTAATGAATCAAATACGCCAAACACACATATCAAATCTTCAAATTTAGTGGGACCTAAAAGTATAAGGCAACAAAATGAGACATTAATAAAAGACAAGTCTGGTAAAAATGTAAAATCTAAATTAACAAATTCTAAAGTTTCAAAAGAATCTTCAACGAATTTAAATAAAGCTAGTGCAAAAACTAGTAGTACTGAAAAATCAAAAAATAGTCCAAAGCTGCCTTCACGTGATAAAGAATCGAAACTCGCAACTCCTAAATCAATTAGTAATACAAAATTAAATCAAATTGATGACCATACAAGATCTACTAAGTCAAAGATGGTAAAATTGTCAGGAAGTCAAATGAAACTAAGTGAACAAAAATCAGATACATCAGAATGTAAAATTCAAGAATCTACATCCATACAGTCGAAAAATTCAGCGAGTCAACCACAAACGCCCTCTGGAGGACCGAACTTTGGGATGCCAAATCATACTGGAATTCCAAAACCCACAGCCGCTGTAAAAGGAACGTTTAAAATATCTAAAGATGATAGGCATATTATAAATAAGAGTACAAATAGTCAATTAAGCCCTATACAAAGCAATTCTAGTTTAAATTCTACAAACAACGTAAGTGCACTTCCGTTCACTAGAGAACAATCTAATTTAAGTAAAGATGTATCTCAGAAACAAACTTTAGCTGTTTCACCAATGCCGAACCCAGGAAATCCTACTTCTCAAATGTCAGAAAGTTCACATTCGAATTCCACTCATAGTACTACAGGTCAACATTCAAATTCAAGTGATAGTAGTGTAATATACCGTCCTTCGAGTGAATCAGGATCTGAGGTGTCGCGAACTACAAATAATATGCCTAGTAAAAGAATAGATATGAATACTACATACATAAACGAAGTCATCAGTGAAGCTGAGATTTCTGAAAAAGAAGCAGCACAAAAACGTTCAAACACTGTATTGAAACCATCATTTGATCCTAATAAAACTTTGTCAGAAATCAATAAAAGGCTTGAATCTGATAGTAGGTCCAGTACTCCTTCACATTGTCGAGATAATTCTCTTGGAGAAGACGAAAATCCATTGATGAATGTTTTGCCTATGAGACCTTTATTACGAGGTTACAATAGCCACTTAACTCTTCCCATGAGAACTTCTGGTTTAACTCAAAAGAATATACCTGGCTATCCTCACCACGCAAATACAGTTAAGGCTAATTTTGGTCGAGAAAATATGGGTTTACGTGAACGTATGAATTATGGTCCAGGTTTTTCAAATCCTGACTATTGCGATCTAGAAATAGCTTCAGGATATATGTCTGATGGTGATTGTTTAAGAAGAATAAATATAAATGAATTGGACTCTGGACGAAATAATGACATTATGGATGGATATATGTCAGAGGGTGGTGCTTCGCTTTATGGTCGTCGTATTAATTACCAGCAACCATCACAGTTCCAACAGCAGCTTGATGAGAGGTAAGTTATTATTTCTATAACTTATACAATTGTAATATTTATTATTTTAATTATCTTTCGGTTGCCGCATATCATCAGATGGGATTTCAGCTTGTTTACCATTCTATAATCATTATATAAAAAATATAGTTATGATAAAAAAAAAATCCGTATTCAATTTTTATAATGTACTAAACTATTAGGTAATTCTATTAGAGTAAAGATGTAGACTCACACTCCCAAAGCCCCTATAAAACTAAAATTAAAACACTCCCTTATGCATGGCATGAGATTCACGACCAAGAAGGCATTTTACCGGTAATAGATGTACTTTTAGGGTTTTTGTTATATGGACAGGAGGAAATTTATTATAATAATTAAGTACAGATGTTGAATTTTAAATTGTACATTGCTTTACACTTAATACTTTTTCTAAACATATATTATTGAAACTATATTACATGATTAGTATCATAAAATAAAAAAATGTATGGTTACTTGTTGTATTTGTTGATTTATATTAATTTGTATAAATATAATGTAGAAAACGTAAATGTACGTATACTATTGTATACCTATAAATCGATCAAAATCTGTTGCAAATGTTAAGTGTATAGAAATAGCAGAAATATAGCTAGCTCTGTGATTGTAAATATTTACGCGATAAGAAGTATAATTATAGGTAATACATATTTTTTTTAAAGAATCGTTAGGTATTACTGTCCTGCTGCTTACACAAAGCTTACATAATAAGAAATTAAAACCTTCATGTCCATGCTGCGTATACGTAGAATGGACATGAAGATTTTCATTTGTGATAGCTTCGAGCTCACTCATTCCACAAGTGGTCGACACGCCTTCAGCGATATCTAATATTGTGTATACTTGTTTAAACACATGTTATAGCATTGTAGGTTGTGTCCAGTGCCGTATAAATACTGTTGTATATATTTAGTTATCTCAATGTCGTATAAAATTAATCCATTTATACAAATTAGTAATAATAATGTTCGTTTTATTCTATATCTATTGAGAAACGTGTCTAAAAAGACGAGTAATTATTTTCAAATCATATTTCTATATTTTACTTATATATACATTACATGTACCCATCTATATATCTAGCAAGCAGCCTACGTTTGCATTAGGTACCGCCTATAGTAGTGACGTAATGGCACATGTACGTGATTCTTAACACTTACTTGTCGACATTTCCAAACAAACCTTTTGAATGCATCATTTGACAAATGCTCATGAACTACTGGTGTGAACAAAGCTTTTGTTAATATTTGGATTTTGCTTCCTGAGGCGTGCACACAACGACCTCCAAGTGAGGACTCGCACGGCGCACTCACACTCTTGTAACGCTAGGGGTGAGGGCGGGGTGTCCCAAATCGATACTCCTACGTCTCACGCCGCCCCTGCCCCTCTCGACTGCTCCATCCATATCGCCTCGACCCTAACCACCCCCAACAGCTACGTACCATTCGGGACTTTAACGATCTCAGCATAAAATTGGACTTTCACCACAGCGACGTTCAATATCAAACAGTTTTCAATGATACCTATTTATTAACCATTACTATTGCCGTCATGCTTTATTCGTTTTACTACGGTTTTTTAAATAGCTAGTTTCAACCAATTTTATAAGTAAGTTATGTCAGATAATTGATAATAGGCAATAGGAATAGTAGAGGATTGATGAATTTACTCCGTATTTTAACGAGATCAGTATAAGTGATTGTGTAAGCTTTACCCGAGCGGGTGGTATTCGGTAGTATAGTGATTCCACGATGGGTACGGTGCGGCGCAGTGGCGACAGGCAGGGCGGGCGGCCGGCACTCGCCGCCGCGCACTAACGGCGTGCGGGCGCGCCGTACTCGCCGCCCGCGCTCATATACGCACGTGACAAACTTTCCCGATTTCCTCGACGGAAAATGTAAATCTGTTGTTGGCATCGATCGTTCCGTCGCGAGACGCACGCTCGTCGAACCGAGCACGCCGATCACAGCTGGCGCCATGAAGCTGGACCGTACTTAACAAAGGACCGCAAAGAAACGGCCGCTTACATTTCTGATCTTGCAAAGCCATATATTCGGTGTTAGTTTAAGGATTTATTAGTCGATGTAGTGGACCATACGCGTTGTGCCTTCTGTCGCTTATTGTGGTGATCGCGAATAGTTATTGTACACATCGGACAATTGATTTGCTATTATTTTTATAAAAATAACGAGATAATAAGTTTGTGAACTTTAATGTAAGGATCAGTGTTGCCTTGCTACGTGTCTTTGCTTTTCGCGGTAGACTTTATAAGCTTACGGTGCTTTATACATTCAAGTTTTAGAAGACATTGACATTTGTGTTTGTTTCCGCTTTGAAGATGGATTGTATTATTTTGGTAAGATGTTATTTTTTGCATAGTCAATTATTTTTATCATATTAAACTTTTGTTGTCTGTGGAGCAATAACCTTGCAAACATCTGGTTGTTATAGAAGTCAATGTATGGCGATTTTGTCACATGTGGTTACCATTCCTTGGTGTACAAGACAATTTTATTGCAATAATGTCGTTTAAATACATTAATTGAAAAGCTAAGTTTTAGGTTTCTCTCTGTAGATATATTTGTATGTTTAGTCAATAGGATGATGGTTACTGCACGAAACAGTTAACATATTACATCGACATGTGCAGGGTTATATGCAGGGGCGAGATACCCTATACTGTCAGTAAACCATGACTCTCAATTTAAGGAGAATTGTCTATATTATTAAAGATTCAATAGGGGAATTGTTACCCTTTTCAACATACGCACATACGTATATATTATCGTATAAAATACGTATATTTTTAAGTATAGACAAACATTAATTTTATTCTTTTCTTGTATTAAAAATATTTAGGTAAGCAAATGAGAATAAGTTGTAGTAAACCATTGAATTCTAATATACAGCAAATTGTTACAAATATATTGTAAATACATACATAATAACATATATTAAATACAAGCCTACTATACAAGATCAATATGAACAATTATACTCATGAATTGAAATGTTTGTGTCGTGCGAGGAATCAAACCCGCGATCTTCGGAAGTAAGTTGGCGTGCTAGACCACCGTGACCGTCTATCAGTCAATTTTGGAATACATACTAATATCAAAACCATTAGTAATTGCAACTAATATTATTATTACCATCCATCATACTTATAATAAGATGTAATTCAGAATACAAAAATATTTACTGCACAATATTTTTTATGATACTTACGTATAAAATGCTAAGACCTTGTTAAGAAACGATAAGAAAAGTCATAGTTACATATTAAAAAATATATACATATATGTATTATTTGCAGAGCAACGTTATATCTACATAACAAATATAATATATAAAAAAATATTATGCACTTATGACCTTAACAAATTAATATAGTATCTACTATCTATAGCCTATCAAATGTCAATAAACATAATCGCTTGGCACGCGTTATTTCGATGGGCAATACTATTAAACTTTCCCCTAGTTTAAATGATAGTCAACCGACCAAATCGCAATGTATGGCTACTTAGTAATTTAATGTCATTCATTTACATTTTCATATATTTTCTAAAGTGGTAAAAATGTTTATTTTTTTATCGATTTGTACAAGTTTTATGGAGGGTTCTGATCATTATGTGCACAAATAGGCATATGAATCATGTTTCGGGCTATTGAATGGCTGCGTCGCCTTCTGGTCTCTCGATCAATGCAGGCTGATTGGCGATTGCCGATAATCATCGAACCTATTATTGAAAGCCGCTTGAAGTTATAGTGAGTTGCTCTATACACATTCCAATGCTAATTTGTTTTATTACCAAATTCATGTACATATGTTAGACAATTAACAACTAATGCAAACTACTTTTACGTTACCTTTTTAACAGTTCTCGAACGTTCTTTTATTGCTCTCTAATTTTGTGTTCTGTACATTGTTGTTGCCGAGTTTAGCATAATTTTTATTTTTGTTTGCATTGATTGTCTATAATTAGGTATGAATTAATTTCCATCTTGCCAGTTTTAAAAACAGGCTGCATGACATGATATGCCATAATTATATTTTAACAAAAAAACATAAAAGTCCCGACTGTTCTCCAAGATATATTGTTAACTATCGATGTTGTGGTGAACGCAATATTTGACATGCCCAATTTTCGCTGGGTACTTTGGAATGCAGTATAGAATGCAGAATAGAATAGCAGTGGCCACTATACTAGTACTGCTGTCTCTTGAATTATTTTTTTGTTAATATCGGTATTTCCTTCATAGAGTCAGTCTTCAGTTTAGTCAGAAATTAAACTTAACAAACAATTTTCATATAATATAATTTATTAGCTCATGTTGGTAAACACATATTTCTAATCTTCTTTTTTGTCTTGAAATGTCTTCATGTAACAAAAGGTATAACTGCTCCTATAGTCGTTCATTTCACAATATATCATAGTTTTCCCTTACTCTAGTCGTTTTCTTCATTTTAAGGGTCGTCATTGCCTTGCGGAATCACTTTCATTTCCAATTACATCCCCCCATCTGTATTGGTCATTTGCGTAATGGAGTCACCTGCCAGTGACTTAATATCAAATGTCCTAGGTTCAAACTTTGAAATTACAAGAAACTAATTTTACATGTCAGCCTGTGAGTATACTTATCAACTAAGAAGCTACATGCAAAATCTATTTATTAGTATTAAAAACCAAAGTCCCCTACCGCGTCCATCTACATGTATGTGTATGTTTATAGTAATCTAAGCAAATACGGAACGGATTTTAATTTGGTTATAATATTTCAGTAATTTTTTAAGGCTTTGTGTATATTAATAAAAATATCCGAGCTAAGTCGGGACGGGTCGCTAGTAAATAATAAAAAAAACGTCGGTGTAGAGAGCGTTTTCGCATCGATTTATGCCCTAATATTATATAACTTACATACTAACAAAACATACGAGAGTTTAGAGAAATGTTCCCGTAATAGCTCTAATAAAA